AATTAATTTATCGGAAATTGAAATGTTGACATTTGCAATTTGCATTTGTCTAATTAAATTACTTTTCCTTTCTCCTGCAACAAATTAATAATAAAGCAAATATAAAAGAATAATATAATATATGATATAAATATAAGAAAACTTATTTTTATATTTCACTCAATATTTAACAATTATTAATTTTATTAGCTAATTAATATATACAATTACTAGCTAATTACAATTTACTAATTAATATATACAATTAGTGGAACTCATTTACATGAATATTCTTTTAATATGAAACAATCTCTTACGCGGTATCATACACATTATTGTGATTCAAAACCTGTTGTGCGAAATAATATATACAAGAAATACATATACAAGATAATTATCTATGATAAGAAAATGAATAATACAATCTTCTCTATTTCCAATTGAAACAGCCAAAAAGATCTAAAATGAATAGTTGTGATAATTTTATATATCTTTAACAATTATCTGTTTTATAATGTAATAATATATAGTATTATTGAGTTAAAAGAAAATTCCAATTAGAACTAATTTTTAGTTTGTATCTGAACTAGTATACACTCGTTGCACTTAAAATGAAATATATATTTGGCATTTAACAAAACCGAGATAGAAAGTTTTAATACATCCCAGTGCAGGAACAGAAAACAAACTTCTTCATTAATAAAAACTCAAGAGATAAAAAATGTTACTGCTTATACTAAATGTAATGCAAAAATATTAATTAATGGTCATGACCCAGTATTTGTTTATAATTTGTTAACGATAACAAAATCTTTCTTTGTAATTTAGACGAAATTGTTTTAAAATTCATTCAAACATGTCAAACGATTTTTTTATTGTCAATATGTAGTTCGGTCTTACTGTTATTAAATTGGTCATCGTACACAGTCTGAAGATTTCTGCATTAATAGAGATGTGGAAACGATATCTGGGTAACCGGACAAATAATTAAGGGAAAGAAATATTTATTCATAAATTGAAAGATTTGCAATGAATACGTTATGACAATCTGATTTGGTAGAAATTAGAAAATTCTCGATTCGTGCAATGGTAAATAAAACTTATCAAATTGTCCATTATACTTGGAATACGTTTACTATTGAACTATGTAAAAAAAACATAACGCAGCAACATAATAAGTATGAAATTATTGTTTTATTTTCTCCTGTTGACGAGAAAGTGGTACAATCAATTATGTAGAAAAACGTATATAAAAACGAGCATAGTCTTGAAAGTACAGCGAAAAATCTAAAAAATTTTTTGTTAGGAACTATATTACAAAATAAAATTGTAAATATATAGAAAAAGATTGACTTTTTCCAAATGTAGATGAAGTTAACTTAATTAAATGTTTTATCATGCTAAAAATTCTAATTACTTATTAGATTGAACATTTCGATAAATTATAATGCAGAATATTAAATTTAGAAATACGATTATGCGAGCTTTCTCTATTCGAGAGAGATGAACACGATTATTTAAATAAAATCTTCGATGGGCTATAAAAATTTTGCTGGCGAGGAGACATCGATTTAACGCTGAATAGAATTTAGCAGATGTTTATTTCTCACAGTAAACGCACTCATGACTTCATGACTTCATCGAAGGCTACTCGACTTGTCCCTTTCAAGCAATATTGGTTTAATTTATGGGCGTACATTCATAGAATACAATTACATGTTTTGAAAGAACATCAATTGAACTATCTCAGGAATTAACATCATCTATAAAATAAGCATCGAAAACATAGAAAGTTTCCTAGACTATAAGTCTTATATATTTAGAATATACAAAATTCATGCTTTTATGGATATTAATTTTTGATATCTTTCGTAACATATTTGATTTCGTTTTAATAATTATCTATTGATTTATCTGTTATTTATTTTAGTAAATAATCATGATTTTTTTGTCATTTTTTTTTTAGTTTGTTTAGAATACAATAATCAAAATGAAATTGGTGATATTATTATTTAATCATCTGATATACAACTTGTTTCTATTAAATTACATAATATATTTTTATTGCTGCATAGAATATATAAAAAGTGAAAGACATCGATACCTTGATTGACAACTGTAATGAAATACGTCTTTTGCTTGATAAGAGAATATTGAATTATAATTATTATAATATTATTATAATATTATAATACTATATTATAATACTAATATACTACGTATGATATATAAATATATATTATTACCATGGCAAAAGCCTCTAACGATGCGTTCATTAAATTGCCGACATTTAGAACGAAGACTTTGTTACCCTTTTGCAGTATGAAGAATATTAATTTTTGCGTGTGTATAGGTGTGGCATACCATCGAATCTTATACGTACAAAATAATGATGACGAGTAAGGAGGTGAACCAAAGAAAAATTGTCGACTATCATATTTATAAATGTATTTCCACAAAAAAAACAGATTGAAAGAAACAGAGAAAGGGAGAGAGATTTTTTAATTATTGTTTCTATTACAAATTATTACAAATTATTGTTCCTATTATTACAAATATATAGAACGTCTGATAATAAACTCCCGTAGGCACATAGAGTGAATTATACTGAATCAAAAATTTTTATCATTTTGCGAGTTTCGCACTAATTATATATTTCCTATGTGGGGGGGGGGAAAATAAGTAAAAAGGGATTTTAATCGATATCAAAATATTGATCATCGAATTGTTATAGAACTATTATGTTGGAAAATCGTTTATAGTGGCGCGTAGTTGGTGATATAACTGTTTGAATTTATTTTATTTAGAAAAATCTAGCAAGATCCTGCTTGCTATGTTTCTCGTTGTAGTTTGTTATTATTTTCATATTTGGCACAATATTCATATAATTTACAATTATCAATTTTATTAGTAATGCTTACTATATATAATACTATATATATAATACAATTAATGGAATTTATTTATATAAATTGGGATAAAGTTCCGAAAATGACATACCTCCGAAAATTGAAATTTTGTAAAAATTTTTCTTTTGGAGCAAAATAAAAGCCCCTAAAAGCCTCTTTTTTGGCGACTAGCACGAGAAGACCAGTTTTTACGGTGAAATGGTAAAAATGTTATTTGAAACTGAACAAGATTCGATTTACTATAAGGCCATAACCCAACAGCAAGGAGAAGAATCCTATGGATATTGAAATGTCTTTTAATACAGATCATTACTCTGCGAGTGTAGAAATTCATTTGATTGTAAAAACAGCAAAGATCTATGCATCTTTATTTATTGAATATTTCATAACTTACCATTTTTGCAAAACGCATAGCACATTATTAAATTTAGCATAATGAAAATTGGCGAATAATGCTACTTTGAGAATACATGTTTTACAATTTTACAATTGTGAATTGATGAATTTTACAATTTTTTGCCTTAGAAAGAGTCTGTTATTAAGCGATCAATACAACGTGAGAGTTTGAACTCATGTTTACTTCTTACAGAAAAATTATAGTGCATTTGTTTCTTTAGAAAAGTTTGCGCAAGCGTGTTTTTCAGTTTCCAGTAATACAAAAATACGACTCTTTCGTTTCGTGGTGCATTTGATTATTTAAAAAAGATGACAATCATTAAATTTATCAATATATCAACTATTAATTTATTACTTATCGGTATTACTCAGTGTAAACAATATTTTAACCTTTTCTTATATTTTTTAACAAAATTAAATTTCTTACAATTTTTCTTTA